TTGTCATTGAACAAAGCCCCACTATCTAGTTGATGGAAGATATCAATCTAGAGTTGAAGGATTTTAACAAAACACAGAGAAAAGAATCTGTGTGAGACGAAGGATAAGGAGACAGAACAGCAGCTTTTCAATCAGGAGTAACATGCCATATGCTTTAGGAAATAACAAGTTCAATAGTCAGTGTGGATAAATAGCTTGCCACCAGAAACTGCATTCAAAATGGCACATAATTGCCACATAGATAAGCACAGAGTAAGCAAGAGTCATACTGAACTGCTCCACATGCAGCTCCCTGCAGCTACACATATTCTCCTCCCACAGTCCAAATGTCATCTCCAACGGGCGGATTCTGCTCCCCTACGGCCACGAGCACACGAACGGGGCGGCCCCAGGACAGCAACCACGGAAAAGCTTCAGGTCAGCTGTAAGCGCACAAACCACTGCCCTTGGTGGGGGGATGGCAGGAGGAACATCGGTGGGTCCAGGCAGACTCATCTCAGTTCCAGGGTCTGCATCATGTGGCTGCAACTCTTTTTTGCCTTGGGACAGCTGGTGCTTTCTTGGATATCCCATTCATGAGTTCATAGCCTAATTCATACTGGCGAAAGGGCCCGATTTACCTGCACCGGAGCCTACATAGCCCTTACTGCCGTCACTGGGCTCCAAGGTCCTGCTGGGTTCAGGGACGCTGTTTCACACAGCTTCAGATCCAGTAAAGCACGTGGTCAAGTCTAAACCTGTCAAGAGGTTCATTAGCTTCAATGGGACTATTAAAAGATTTAAAGTAAAGTACATTCTTAACTGCTTTCCTGAATGAAATTCTAAGCAAAGAGTGTGTCAACATAAATAAAGGTATCAGAGTCAGAGCACGAAAGATATTTGATTACACAGGTAGGATTTTGCCTGAGCTTTTCAGAACTATTTAGCTCAAATCATTGTAAATGTGCAAGAATTTTAAATTCACCCTGGAGCACAAGATTGGCACATCTTCTGAAGAAATGCAAGTAGTGAATAAATGCATCATATAATAATTACAAATTCCATAAAATTAAAGAGACACTGTCAGGTCCTATCTGGCTCCAAAACTTAGGTATTACACAACGTTGTCCAACAGTATCATCTCTTTTATTTCTCCATGGGGTTTTCAAAATGCATCCCTACAGCGTCTGCCCCGCTGTGTGTGCAGCTGGAAGTCCTAACTCAGGAAAATCGGGAAAAAAAAGAAAGTGAACTAAAGCAAAAGAGGTCAGACCTAGTACTGTCCTGGCTGAGAGCAACTCACGAACTAAAGAAACTACCATACAGTGAGAGGTCAATGGCAAGTAGTTCATTTGCTGAGATTTTATAACTCGTGGTTTTATTTGTTATTACAGATAAGGACCTTTTAAAAAGGAGAGAGAAACGAGGTTGACAATGTGCCTTTAAGAGTCTTGCTTTGCCCGAGGGAGGGGTACAAACAAGGCAAGCAGTATCAATGAGCTTGCAGTGATTGCCAGTAAATTGACATGATGAAGTCAACTAAATTAACAGTTTTAACAAGGACAGAATAAAACACATTTTGTCTAGCCCTGCCACAAGAGCCAACTACTGAGAAACTTAACAGCCCCCGTGAGCTACGCTCGCGCGTCTGTGCCCTTTGTGCGCCAAGGAACAGTAAGGCGAATATATTGTGCCTCAGCTAAAAACGGAGCCTATGGCAGGACATCTATCTTCCTCCGGGAAGGTTGCTGGGCAACTGGCAAGCTTTCGGCTCCGAGCTGACGTTTCCGAGCACACGCTTAGATCCTCCATCGCTTGCAACTAACTTGATTTTGATGGATTAACATAAGATGAAAACCTACTGTGCTTCTCTCTCTCTCTCTCTCCGACACACAGGGATCATTAAGATACAACAGAAAATACGACAAAGCGTAGACTTATAATGCGTGCAGAAGGGCATGCAAAGGAAAAAACAGGCACTAATGAGATTAATGCTCTGAATGATCCCTTATTCTACAGTAGAGACAAATATTTAGTTAGCAAAATCTCAGAATAATAATAATAATTTAAAAAGAAGAAAATGCAAATACACAGCCTAACTGTGACTTGCCTGTATCCTTGACTCTTTCGCATCCTTCAGAAAGACTATTTCGTTTTTCAGTGCTCTTTATCAGATGATGTTTAAGACTATTTCCCTTCACCTGCTGGAGATGCACTACTGGGACACAGTAGTTCTCTCTAATCCAATCTAGCTAAGCATTTATATCACTCTCATTAGCTTGGTATCTGAATACCCTATTGAGCTGCATTATCATTAATTGTTTCTTAAGTGTCAGCTACAGAGTCTGTTTTATACAGCACAAAACAAAGACATGATCCCTGCCCCGAGGAGTTTTACATGCTTAACAGATGGTTAATGACATCAGTGTAATGACAGCATTTGTACTGCTAGGAGATAACATTTATGGAATGTGGCATGAATGAATATAGGTTTGTTAAAAATTTCACTTGATTTTCTGGGAGAATTTTGTTGATCATTTTTCATAATTCCCTAGTGATTTTTATGGGGCTTTTTTATGGGTTTTATAGGCTAAAACCTATAGCCTCAGGCTTCTTTTGCAAACCAAGAGCCTCATCCTAACTGGACATTTTTACCAAAAAACTGATTCTTCTCTCACCACGTGCACAAACACACAGGCATACACAGTGTTTTTGTCAGAAAGGGGGAGAATTTCAACTGAACTAGAAGTATTTCAAGGAAAATATTTTAGTTAGCTTTAAGAAAGTTTGAAAAAGACCCTGATGAAAATGGCCAAATGGAAAATGCCCTGAGCTGGACAGGAAATGGAGAACAATAAGGCGACAGCCTGTGCCAGCAGGCTGAATGGTACATCGAGGATGCAGCGACAAAACGAGACCTCAGACAGCTACGAATAAGGCGTTCTGCAGAACCGACTAATTTTCAAGGACAAGAAACTCAAATTTGCAAGACAGGCAAAGGAGGCTAATTGGGCATAACTGCAGAGTGGCTGTACTCTTTCTTTCTCCAAGACTAGTACCAGGTGCAGCGCAAGCAGTCCCAGGTGGAGGGGGATCTCGGCTGGGGCAGGAGGGGGACGCGGCAGCCCCCCTGCCACCACCGTGGCAGCCCCAGGGCCGGGCCACAGGGAGAGTCCCCCGGGGCCAGCCTGGCTGCACTGTGGGCAGCAGCGCAGGGCCTGGACGGGCCATCCGGCCACGCCGCTGGGTGCTTCCTGTGCTCCTCACACGAGGATGTTCATGGCAGGGCTCTAAATAGTGCGTCTGTACCAGTTATTACATGTTATTCATTGCCACATACACATAAGAGGACTGTCTGCTCTTCTTGTGTACTAACAGACCACAAATCCAGGGAGCCTGACTTCTGGGCTACCCTGGCACAGCTGAGGCACGGGGCTGCAACAAGCAAGGCAAGAGATGATTTGAATTTTTTCTACTGCATCAAATTTTATCTCATTGTGTTTTATTGTTATTGATACTGATTTTAGTATCTTCAGTGTCAGAAAGCCATTCATAACTGGGATAACACATAGCATTAAGTACAGGGTATTTCTATACGACCTCAAGAGGCCAATTCTTGATTTTAAAATAGAACCATTAAAAAATATCTTTTCTATTCAGTTTTTCAGTGTAACATGCAAAACGGTTGAACTCTTATTTCTCTTATTATGACCTTCTGGTATCATCCAGGATATGCTGGACAACTCTTCCCGATACACCAATCCTTTGCCGCATTCTAGAAACCCATTCCTGCAGCTTCTTACAGTACAATGGCTCATTCTAAATTTCCTGATGGACTTCCCAGATTTTTAGATAAGATGCTAAAATGGGACTTTGGACTACACAAAGGCTTCTCTAGGATGGTGGAACATGCAGGTCTCGCCGGTTTTCAGTTATGGTTCCATACGATAAAATCAGAATGTCTTACCCTACCTCTGTTGCCCCAGTTCTGGCTCTTTAAGTAAAATTTTCAAAAGCTGTTAAAAGCCAAGGTCCTTTTCCCATTCCAACTCAAGCATGTAAGATCTTAAAGCTCATTTAAAGCCAAAGAAATTCAGTCACTCGTGCCATTTCTAAACAGACCTGTATTTTTATTTCTACGTGTGCAGCTACACAGCTGCACATGCAAGGCAGGTAAAATGCTTGCAAAAATGGTGCCACAAAAGACAAACAAATCCCCAGTAAGCACATTAAGATCAAAAAAAGGTATAACCTCAGAGCATTTAAATATGGTGACAATAGCATCTTCTTCCCATTGAGATGAAAATCTGTACATTTCCCAGTAACCTCAATGTAAATTCAACTTAGAACAGCTCTGAGACGATCTAAAAATGAATTTGTGAACAGAATAATTAATAAGACTCTTGGGTCCTTATTTCTGTGGGCTCACATAATGGCAATTAAAGCTAAGCACCTTTGAACAGCCTCTAAACAAGCACATGGAAATCTAGGAGAACCTCCAAGTGGGGATTACGCATTAACCTAATGTTCACAATCATGCTCAGAAAGTTTGCTCTTTCAAAGCTCGAAATAGAAATGTTAATATTCTGAGGCAAATAAAAAAAAAAATCTTGAGTTCTTGCAAAAGGCAAATTTTGACTCAAGTACATAACAGGTAAAACAATTCAAAACACCCATCATTTACTGCAATTAAAATGCCCCAAACAGATTTTGAACAACCTTCTCTTTTCTAAGGAAACTTTCTTCCTCCAAGTGAATTGCTAAACTCAGGTGAGCATCAGATTATTATTTACTTCAGGATTAAGCATACACTTCAAGATTAGCCTCCACGTTTGCTTGCACTGCAGTGAAAAGAGCACAGCATCACAGACCACAGCGGCAATTAAAGCCAGTTCCACCTTGTCTACTCTTGCTCTTTAAGAGCTCAGTCCCCTTCTCGAAAATGCTGAAGTACGAACAGTTAATGCAAAAGAGTCATTGCACACAAGAGAGTAACAACAAGAGTCCACAGGAAAAATTACCTCCTATTTCCAGACAATTAACTGGAAGTCTTCCATATTTTGGAGAAGAAGAGGATGTCTGTCTGCAGAGCGATGCTACATGCAAGCCACAAATAGGAACAAGCTCCAACAATTTCTGCTTAGCTTGCCTGGAACAGAAAAAGAAAAGCTGTGTCTCTGGGGAAGGTGAAATGTCTAGCTGTGGCTTTACAACAAATCTGCAATCAGAAAGAAAGCAGCAGACAACTTACTACCAGATTTGACACTATACCTCCAGCTCTTATTCTCTTCACTACCACGGCAAGCTATGCAGTCCCTAGTATTGTTCCCTAACTCAACGTACACTAATGGACCCAGCTAGGTGAAATCATCCCGTTTCATTGCAGTCCAGAGAATTACACTCACTGAGGATGGGAATCTTTGAGATTACCCAAATCTCTGGTGACTACCTTACCCTAACAATGGGAATGATTGTGATATGAAGTCAGGTCTTGAGTGCCAAGTTAATTAGTTGTATCGTATCAGCCTGCAAAAGACAGTAATGGATGTTCCTTTAAATAATACACAAGGAAATCATAGTAGGGTAGATGGATATGAGTGGAAATTTCATAATTAAATCAAACCACGTCAAATAGAAACTGCATGGTATCCCTGACAAGAAGTCACCTACACCACTCTAAAGGTCTATATTTAAGAGTGGTTCTAGTAACAGCAGAACTAGCTTGCAGTCTTACACCCAGACTAGGTGATTATGACACTCCTTATTTCCATTTAACGTAGGTTCAAAAATTGACTCTTCTGTAGCACAGAACTAAAGAGCTGGAAAAAAAAAATCCCAAATGCCACATCAAAAATCACTTCACCTTATATGGTGTCTTTAATTTTTGTAGGAAAAATCAACTTCTTTCCAGTTCACTTCACACTTAGTAAACTCTCAGTATGATAATATCCATTTATCCTCAAACAAGTTCAACTTTATCCCTTGTAGCCTGTCCAAAAATGTAACAAAATCAAGATGCTCTTGTTTTTTAAAGACTGAAATCTGAGTGTGACTGTTTCCTTTCCTTCATTAGCAGAAGAATGCATGCGTGGGACATAGAAGGAGAACAAAATAACGTCTAGATCTGAGGAGAAATGAATAACAAAACCAGAACAACAGGAGCAACTGAGAGAAAAAAAATTAGAGGACTACATTCCTGTGGCCTGCCAGGGTGTCATTCAGAATACCTAATGCAGATGATTAGGACAACCTACTGTAGATGATCTCAATATCTCTAAAGTCATCGAGACCCTTCATTAGGATTTTATCCCAGTCTCTGATAATTAACATCTTTTCTGCAGATGGCCTGACCTGAAGCTGAAGTTGCTACTCTATCTCCTCAAATGCTATTTCAGCTAGGATGAAATTACACGAACGAATAAAATACTTCACCAGGGCAAATCTGAAAGCAAAGCCTCATACTGACAGGCACAGCATTGCAAAGAGTGACACCAGGACACTCGTTCCTGAACCGTTTTAGGATGCCAGCGTGGTTTCCAAGCAACCCCAACAGTTAACAAACATGCTCGCTTCTGCTTCTGCTGAAGAGAATGACAGTTTGTGACTGATCTCAGCATCTTGCCTGGACATACACAGAGCTTCAAAGACTTGTGCTCCTGCACGACCTACACACTTCCAGAAATCTCATCCCTTACCCTGGATCTGAAGAGCCACTGGAGCCCAACCCAGAGCATGCCGCCTGCCTCACCAGCGTGTACATGCCTCCAGCTTTGGGCAGTTTTCACAAGGAAGGGTGAATCTTGCAGAGATAACATTTCGCAGACGTGCAGCACACCGGGATTTTGCTCCAGGTGTGCAACAGACTGTTAGTTGATATTCACCCACTCGGAGCTTTCAGTTCCCCTTCTCCTGAATACAGGCAATCACTCCCATCGGCAATAAGAAGTCTTATAGAGGTCAGAAAAAAACCATTTTCATAACCTTCTTCCTATCCTACTGGTAATTATGTCAATGTTTTCCTCATGAAAACAACAACAGCAACAAAACCCCTGTATTATAGCTAGGTTAAAGGAGCATTTTTAACCCGAAGAATTTACAAACTTAAAAGATCCACAGCAAAAACATCAGGTGTAAATGAGCAAAGCTCATTATGTCAGTGGATGTACTATGTCTACAGAGACACACCAGCTGAGGAGCCGATATAAGCATATGCTTAAATCTCAGAAGAGAGAGAGCTAGACCAAAACAGAACTCGAGAAGAAGCTGTTCTCTTTCTGAAACGGCACTGTGTAGGAAGAAAATGCTTTTTGCTGTGTTAAAACATCTCAACATTCTTCATTCCTGTTTTTCTTATACTTTCAAAACAAGACTTCCATACAGAACAGTGGAAGCAGAACTTAATGTATTAAAAAATAAATAGTTTTCACCTCAGGAGCAAGAACAGATCAATATGTGTACTGTGGAAATGAGCTTGCAAAACTCTCTCAAACTCCTGACTGTGGGCAGGGGCAGTTTGCCTGAGACAGGCTATTGAAGCTTTTTATAGCAATTCAAGCTAAGAAAGGAGGTCCCTCTCTGCACAATAGTTACAGTCTGACATACTGAAGCACTCCGTAAGTCTGGGGGCTAAGCATCACTGTTTATTAGCAATTATTATTCTAATGAGTAACTCTTGGGCAGTGCCCAAGAGTAAGTGGAACTTCTGCCATGGGATGACAGAAGCATTCCTCTTCTAAAAAATGAGGCAATAAAATCAACACACAAACATGTGCCACAGTCATACAACCTACCTTCACCCAATTGTGCCGTAACAGCTGACAGCATAAAAAAGCAGCCCTCCTAGTTGAGAGCTTTCTTTGGGAGCAGCCTCTGAGGTATCTCCGGTTATTTGGTGCACTAAGTAGGAGACCTTTGAGAAGGAGGCAGGCTCTGCTAAGGCTATTTGAGTAGTGGCCGGCTTTCACTGAACCAGCCAGCAGACTACAGGGTTTGGTTTTGCAAGTGCGTTTAGTGGATGAACCAATACTGATCTCACCTTTGATGAGGTGTCTGATGAAATTTGAGAGCATCTGTCTATACGGCTGCAAACAATACTAACTAGATACTACTAACTCAGCACTAACTAGGAGCTAAAATGTCTCATCATGGTCTACACTGACAGCTACACCACTGTTTGGCCCAGGATTAATTAATATAATACCTGACAAGTGCATTTAGAGATTAACGGCCTATAACTGCTTGGTTACCTTGTACTATATAGAGTGAAGCATGTTAACGTCAGTAGAGAAACAGTTTGTTTTAACCCAGTGTAGATACTACAAGGATCCAATGAGCTTGAAAATATGAGGTCAGCCTCTCAGAGCCACTTTACATCCCTAAGGTTTTGGGAACACCCACTTCTGGCCCCGGATGCCCATTTGGATGGGCCACAGGCAGAGGCACCTGCAGCTCCGGTGGAGCTGCACCGCTCGCCCTGCCCTATACCGCAAATGGGACATCCCGGTCGGGGTACGTTGCACACAACCGCTCTGCAGGACTGAGACTGAGCAGGAGCTTCAGGGCACTCAAACCAGCAAATATAACTGAGAGCAGCTCACAGGTAACTCCGACTTACGCCAGGGTCTGGACGGTGGCATCTGGAGAGCGGGTGCCCACTGCCAGCCTCCAAACTGGTCCTCCATCTGCTATGTGCTGTGCACACCGCAGTACCAGAGAGAAATAAACGTGGGCCAACATTTTCTCTTGCTCTTGGCTGCTGCATTTAAATTGAAAAAATTCACAGCTCTAACAATTGCAGAAACAAAGCTTTTTCTCAGCTTTCCAAATCAGGGATGTTTCTGGGAGGCCGGGGATCTGATTACTGCTCAGCGGCCAGTCTCACAGGAGCACCTCCAAATAACTCTAACAGACTCCAGCTGAAGCTGTAAGGCTAAACTCGGCAACCTTAAGCAGCGCTCTTCAAACGTGGATCCCTACACATATGTTCCTACACAGTCCCCAGCTCTGCCCGATTTAGGGTTAGCAGATTATTTAGCTGCTTTATCCCTGGGGAGGGGGGGAAAATCCAGATAATCTGGAGATTAAACTGGAAACACTCTTCCTGAAAAATTGCTTTTTGGAATGCATAACGAAGAGGAAAATGTTTGTAACTTGTACAGCTCCCAGGAGGAAGACGAATACGCCCGCTGTCCTCAGAAGATGTAACAGAACCCCCGCCGGCCCCCACGAGCAACCAGCCTCTGAGCAGGTACGCACGAAACTGCGATGACTGTTCCCAAAACTGCTCCCTGCCCCCGCTTCGAGCTGCCACACGTCCCGCAACCGCAGCACGCTCTCCGGGCAGAAACGCCTTCACCGACACGTCCGCACGGCCCCCGCGCCGCCGGGAGCCCGGCTCCTGCCTTGCTTCAGTACTGCAATACCACAGCACTGCCCACCCCGGCTGCTCGACGCGCAACTGCGAAAGCAGTCCGCTCTAGCCAGAAAAAAAGGAAACGGAGACCAAAACAAAACCCTGAGCGCATTAGTCACTGTTAACTATTCTTTCCAGAAACATAATATTCAGGGTATTTCACATTATTTCCTGGACAGGAGATGTCTTGGGGGCTTTTAGAATTGGATAATTAGTAAGATATAAATCCCCATAGCCAAATCAGCAAGCAATTCTTTCAAACACACATATATACACATTAACACTCGAGTGCTTTACCTTTCCCCAAAAAGCAACCGCTGCTGTCAAGCACACCCATCTATTACAGCCACATGCTCTTTTTAAGAATAGCTAATCAGAAAAGCATACAGAGGCATTTAATCAGGTTTTTTTTTTTTTTTAATGACCTAATGTTTTGGTTTGCAACTGCTGCCAACTCATGCTGGGTAGAAATTTAGTACTGTCGGCATTTAATTATTATTTTATCACAGATTTCTTTACCTTCCTACAGCGAAGAAATAGCTAGAAAAAAACTGCAGCAACAAACAGTTTCCGAAGCCGTTCGACAGTGTCCTCGTTATTTAGCTGTACTGGAAATTACCATTTTAG